TCGATGTCCAAAGCATCCATCAAGGCATCTTCGGAGAAACGGCAAGCGTGCTTCACTGTCTGAAACTGACACACGTGTTCAAAGTCGAGCTTGAACAACGACTGAACAGGGAATGCCTCCACAGTGCTCGTAGGGGAAACGAAAGTCTCACCTGGCTGAAACGGACAGATCTGCTGCTGTTGCTGCTCGGAGTGTTCCAAGTCGATTGTAACTCGCCCTGGCTCAACGACACGTTGGCCCAACAGTGCCACGGCAACATGGTCCTGCCACTTGTCTGCTCCGCTGCCCCAGCCCACCACCCGCTCCATGTATTTCTTGGCAGATGGCTTAAAGCTGAGGAGCTGCATGACGTCGTAGGTTGTCGCTCCACTAGCCCCCGTGGACACTGGCACTGCGTAAAACGCACCCTCCCGAAGTACAACCTTGATATGGTTGAAAAGCTCCAACAAATGAGCAGGGGTTTGAACCCTGTTTGATGAACTTAGCTGCTGGATCATTGCATCCTCAGTCGCAACATCCCGGAACATCACAGCGATGTGGTGGCCGCTGACCAATCGGTGCAGCTCAGCCATCGAGCTCCAATCCTCTGGCACAAGCTCATCAAACCGCTGCAGGTAGTCCTCGAATTCGGCCCTGAACGATTTTTGCCGACAATCGGGGTTCTGCCTGCGCCTCAGCGCCGCCGAGGCTGTGGTTGCCCCGCTGGCACGGCTGGAGCCCATCTTGATATTCACCAAGTGATGCCGAGCCTCCAGGCGCTGCATGGACACGAGACTCACACCATATCCAACAAGCTCAGCGAACAAGTTGTTGTCCATGACAGTGCCTTCTCCGCCGCCGCCCCAGTTGCGCATGGATACCAAGAAATCGCCCTCGAAAAGATGCTCGGCAAAGGTGCCCCTCACCTGGAGCTGGCCTGCATCACGCTGGCGGCACCAGTCCGCAGCAAGCTGCCTGCTGTTGCGTTCAGCCGCCACCCTCTCCTGCCCTGGAGGCACCAAGATGTACCGCAACAGCTTCACCACACACCAAGGAAACTTGGTGTAGTAGGCAGAGCCCTGCTCAAAACGCAGCAAGACCTTGCGCTGGGCCACTACGAATGCCTTCGAGATATCATCTGCCACTGCCAGGCTAGCTTCATCAATGGATCGCAATCGTGCCAAAGCCGCAGCGGCGGGCTGAAAGCCTTCTAGTCGCAACGATTTCAACTCATTCTGGAAATGCTGAGCTTGCCCATCAGCCAATTCAATCAGTCTGCGCCCTTTGTGCTTGCAGCCTTCCTTGGGGTGGGGGTCTGATTGCCGATCTTTCCGCTTTCGCCGCCGTTCCGATTCACCCTGGTGTTGTGGACAAGGACAAGCTTTGAGCCACATGTGGACTTTGAACCCCCACTGCTCCAGACAATACACTGCCCAGAACATAGCCCAGAAGATAGATCTTTCAAGCTGATCTGCAGCCAACTTGCGTAGGCCTTCACCCTCTGCTTGGGACAAGTCGTCCCCTCGCGATTGTCCTCGCCAACAGTTCAACTACAACTTTAGCGCCGGGCCAGAGACGCCGTTCGGAAATAGAAGTTGTGGACTACTACACAACAATCATCGCTTAGAAAGGTGGCCATGCATCTATTAGGTGAGTCATTTTACTTCGGAGCCGAACTGTTGTAAAGCCCACGGCGGCCTGACTCGGGCTCCAAATGCTGGATGAGGGCTTCTCTCTTGGAGAACCAGTGCATCACATCGAAACCATAATGCCAACGTGTTTTGCAATAGGTCGGGCAAACAGAAGAAAACATCGATGCCAAACCTGCCTTCGATTCGTGCGGGATGGCAGCGTTGTCCCAAATGTTCTTCTTGATGTAGACTTCCTGATCAATGCTGGCTGGGTGTTACCCCGAACGTATATCATCCGAAATCCCATGCCCCATAACGCAGCAATGCATGGCCAAGGTTCTATGTGATCACGTTTCGAGAAGACTTTCGATAGTGCACTCAGCTGTGCGTCAAAGCTGTCCCAGAGCTCCTTGGCAGCTGTGCTGAAGCCACCCTCGACCTCCTCCATGACGTGGTGCAGGAGGTGGTCGAAGTCTGCCAGTGGAATCGAAAACGGGAAGCACCTGCCCCTCTCTTCAAGGCTACCTGGTGCATCTAGGTCTGGCAATGACCACAGACCGCTTTCAACACCCATGTCTGATAGCAACGACCGGACTGCCAAACGTGCCGTCTGCACATCATCTGCCTCCAAACTCAACATCCTCAGCGCCGACCTGGCTTTATATGCAGTGTTAGTGGCTTGCTTGCCCATCACCTGGAGCGGCAAGAGCCTGATATGGACGGCGACATCGATGAACCTCAGCATGGTGCCGTGCAATGCCGTAGCATTTCCGTCTTGGCACGTAAAACAAAACCGGCTCTTGTTCTTACTTTTACTGACTCTTACTGTACCAAGCCTTACTGCCTGCTTCACAAAGCGATGCTATCCTATATCAGGCAGCACATCGTCGGGCCGTTGTGACGACAGACAAGACAAATCGATGCGGTCTAGTTCGCCAACCAAGTAATTGCGTGCGAACTGAGGTGACGAATCGAGACGTAGGTGACTCACCCATCGCGGTAAGCCGGCGGCAAACAAGTGCTTCCTTGCCCACAGCATACTGCAGTAATCCACGTTCTGCCTGAATTGATAGAGAGTTGTCTTTCGGGGCATGCGCAAGCCAGCAGTGACATGCTCTGCAACATCGGGGTCCAGAGCAATCTGGATTGACCTGGGTTGAGAAACCGACTCCTCTGAGGCTTGTTTACTCCATCGCTTTGGCTCTCGCTTTCAACTTCTCTCCTTCTATTTATCTTTCTCTCTCGTTCTGTCTCTGTGTCTCTCTCTGTGTCACTCCCTCTCGCTCCCTCTCTCGCTCTCTATCCCTCTCTTTCTCTTTCTTTCTTTCTTTCACGGCTCTCCCTATCCCGGTCCCACGCATCTGGAAGGAATGGCGTGATACTAAGGTTCAGGCTGTCTGACAACCGTGTCAAGCAGATTGGTCTCGTCATCTTCGCCGGTGTCATAAGACAGACTTCGCAAGTTGTCTGCCAAAAGCACACTGTCCAGTACGAAAAGAGCCCGATACTCAACTCCGCCGCCGGCTCTCTTGCGCATTCCAGACGTGGGCTTCAGAGCCTGTTCGAGCACTCCAAGCCCCTCTCGGACCGTGGCAGCTTCTCCAGCCTCCAGGTCCCTTCGCAGTTGTTGGAAAAGTTGAGTTATCAGGCTGGTTCCCCTGTTGCTGCCACGGCCTTCTGCACCCTCTGTCACTGCCGGGGCACCACAAGCGGCAGCGGATCTGCCAAAATCCACAAGCACACGAACCTGCTGTGGATCTGCTCATCCGATCATTAGGCCATAAACCTACACACGACTGATCATGCTCCCTAAGCCCCGGTTTGTGTGGGATCTCGCCTCCCGCCAGAGCACAGGGGCGAACTGGGCGGACAGATCTTGGAGTGAGCACCCATCGGCAGCCAGGTCCTTTGAACGTGGTGGTTGGGCCGAAGTGCTAAAAACGCCAACACAACTGTTCAGGTCTTCTGCAACAAAAAACTCAAACAAAAAAATTCACCATCATAGTCCTATTATTACCTTTTCTCGAGACTCCGGAACTTGAGCGAATTGACGGCAGTCTTCATATGGCAGTAGTGACAGCATGCGTCGACCTCTGGTACCAACCGCTGTATTTATCTCATGGTTCAGCCGGCCCCTGAACAATACCCGGTTTGGCTTGGCAGGCTCCAAGTAGATAAGTTCAGTGTACACGCTGCCGACACGATTGACGCACCAACATCTCGGTTGCTCCTCTCCAGCAGCCACCAGTGCCATAAAAGGCGCGAGCTAAGGCGACCATGTCACAAGCACTCTCTGCCGCTGTGCCGCATGAGCTCTATCAGCTCGGGCTCACACCGCACACCGGTTGCATACAGCCAAACGGGTCATGGAAAGTTGATGCCATGGACTCCCGCGTCTACATTGCAAAAAAAACTATCTTCCAGTATACCGAACATTCCTTAACTGAACTACACACTCACGTTAGTCTTAGATTATACTACTCATGCATAGACGAAGCTGACTTTCGTACTCGAGCTGCTGATACACATACAGCAGAGTTAGTTGCCGTCATTGCTTGGGGCGAATGTCTTTTCATCTGAGCTTATGGCATATGCTGCAGACAAACATATTTTGCGAAAAGCATCACCGTCACAGGCCCAAACTTCAACCGGTGCACCCCCAGGAGCCCAAAATTCAACCGGTGCACCCCGAGTGACTGTTTTAAGTCCACGAGGAAGATTCATGAAGGGAATGATCCCGCCACCGTGCGGCACATTTCCCCGAAATGCTCAACGGAATTAGTAATAGAAACTAGAGGTTTCAGCGGGTGAGGATCTCAGAGTTGAAGGATTCGGGGTCTTGGGGTTCTGGGTTTCAGGTCAAGGGTTTAGGGTTATCTTAGCCTATGAATTACGGCTTTTTGCCATCGTGCTGCAGCACCTCCGGCGGCTTGAAGCATATATGCTTCCAAACCCTACAAGGACCTAAACCACTCAAGCCACAAACTTTCATCCCAAGCACACTGAATCCAACAGAAACAGGTTTCTGGGTCAAGCTGGGGTTGGAGGAGTGCATATCGAGGCTTTAGGGTAGGGGAGAGTGTAGATTTGCTCTCCTGTGTGGGGATCCTGACAATAAGAGAACTTGCTTCCAACGGCCCTGCATAACCATGGCCCCTGAAACTCAGGACCCTAAACCCTAAACGGTACGACCTGAATCCCAAGCAAGAAACCCTAAAACCCTAAACTTGCAACCACTAAGCCACAAAGTTTAAGCTCTGAGCTTTAGACTCGATTCCTTAAAGCGGAAGCTCCGCACTCTCACGACTTACGCAAAACCGAAGGCCTAGGTAGTCCAAACTGCAGGCCACGCCAAAACCCAAAGTTTGACCACCAAATCTGCCCAGCGACGGCATTCTCCGCGTCTAGGGACTTCACAAGCCCTGCCACAAGCACGACCTCGCACGATTTAGGCTACGGGGTGTCAGTCAGTTCAGCCAAGACAAGGATCCCACAGCCCTTAGCCCAAGTCCAAGGCCCGCAACTCCCCAAAGCCATTGAAACAAAGAGTCCATTGTGGAGTGGCGGGGGTTGACCTCTGCTTTCAAGAGACCGCTTCGATAGGGAGGGGTGGGGGGGGGTTGTTGTTCGTGGATTCGGGGAACAACAACCCCCCCCACCCCGTGGGCGGAGGCACGGGGAGCGGGGGGGGGGGGTTGAACAACAAGGGGGGGGTTGTTGTTCGAAGAAACGGAGGGGAAGAACAACAGGGGGGGGGTTGAACAACAAGGGGGGGTTAAACAATAAGGGAGGGGGGGGGGGGTGTTGTTCGAAGAAGCGGAGGGGAAGAACAACAAGGGGGGGGTTGTGCTAAGAAACAAAGGAGAACAACAACAACAACAACTACTACTACTACTACTACTACTACAACTACAACAACAACAACTACTACTACTACTACCTACTAATGGTACTACTGCTACTACGACTACTACTACTACTACTACTACTACTACTACTACTACTACTACTACTACTACTACTACGACTACTACTACTACTGCTACGACGACTACTACCACCACTACTAGTACTGCTACTACTACTACTACTACTTCTTCTACTACTACTACTACCAAAATGCGCTAGACCATGGACTTCATTAGGTTTTGGACATGGATGCTCTCCAAACCTCAATGCGCTAGACCACGGACGTCATTAGGTTTTGGACATGGATGCTCTCCGAACCAAAGTGCGCTAGACCATGGACGTCATTAGGTTTTGGACATGGATGCTCTCCAAGCCAAAATGCGCTAGACCATGGACATCATTAGGTTTTGGACATGGATGCGCTCCAAACCAAAATGCGCTAGACCATGGATGTCATTAGGTTTTGGACATGGATGCTCTCCAAACCAAAATGCGCTAGACCATGGACGTCATTAGGTTTTGGACATGGATGCTCTCGAAACCAAAATGCGCTGGACCATGGACGTCATTAGGTTTTGGACATGGATGCTCTCCAAACCAAAATGCGCTAGACCATGGACGTCATTAGGTTTTGGACATGGATGCTCTCCAAACCAAAATGCGCTAGAGCATGGACCGCTTCGATAGGGAGGGGTGGGGGGGATTGTTGTTCATGGATTTGGGGAACAACAACCCCCCCACCCCGTGCGCGGAGGCGCGGGGAGCGGGGGGGGGGGGGGCGTGAACAAAAGAACAAGGGGGGGGGGGGGGGGGGGTTTGTTGTTCGAAGCAACGGAGGGGAAGAACAACGGGGGGGGGGGGGGGGGGGGCTTATGTTCTCTCAAAATAAGAACAACAAAGGGGGGGGGGTTGTTGTTCCCCAAATCCATGAACAACAACCCCCCCACCCCTCTATCGAAGCGGTCTGGCTTTCAAAACAAACACAACACACGCACACACCCCTCAACGGGGGAGCTTAAGTTGCTTGGTGCTTCGGGTCTGCCGCAGCCTGTTTTAGGGCCCCAATTTCTAGAACAGTGTTCCTACAAGGCAACCTTTATATAAAGGGATCTACAAGTGTTGCTATAAGGGTTGTATATCAGAGAGACTTTAATAGTTAGAATGGGGCCTGCGGTATGTTACAGTACAGTGGTTGTATGATACGCTAAGGAACCCTGAAAGTCAAAAAGCTGTGATCATTCAGTCCCTTACATCACCCCAAACTCGAAAACATCGAACGCAGCTCGGGCTGATGGCAGTAGAAGTCTGGATTTAAGTGGCATCTTCAGAAAATCGGCAAAATGCTAGGACACATAGAACAGGGACCGACAAGGGATCTGTAAGTATCAGAAGCTGCCCAAGTCGAGACAAACTTCGAACTTGCGGCCTTGCCTCAGCAATATGGACCCCTCATAGAGTACAAGGGTTTTATGTAGAGGTCCCCTTGACGGGTATTGTAGGGAGCCCGAAAAAGATCCCCCGTAAAGGATACCTCATGGCCATCGGTGCTAGGGTTTAGATAGCCCTGGGTCCCTGGGGCTAAGTCTCGGAGAGAATGGGCGCCCCCTGTATACACCCTGCATCATAGAATCGGTTATATTCCTAGAAGTCTCACTAATGTCGTTGTTGTTGTTGTTGTTGTTGTTGCTGTTATCGTCGCCGCTGCTGCTCCTATGGCTTTTCATGTTACTACTTTGTATTGCTCTCGTCCTGATTGCTGCTAAGGGGACCCCGTCAAAAGGGGACCCCGAACCATGACGACCTCTATCTGCAGCACCGGGTTGGCGTCTCAGGATCCAATACGATTGCGGGCTGATAGGGCGGCCGTCAGATAGGGTTCCTTCGAATTGTGCGACAAGGGGTTCTAGAAGGAATATTGCAAGGCTTTGATATCGTGGCCTGCAGGACTGGACTCGCGTTGGGGGCTATTCTAGCATAATCATCATAATACGGAGCGCCGAGGAATAAGGTTGGCAGCTGACTGTCTGAGGTTTGTGTGAGGATGGAGGGTGAATAGACGAAGACAGCCAGACTTCTAGTGTTCAGTATGAAAGATCTTACAAGCTTTCAGGCGTAAGGCCCTTCCCCAACCCGAAGCCATACCCTTTCCCTCCCACCCAGGCACTAGCTACTTGGCAGCCACAACCCCTAACCCTCAACCCTAAATTTTGAACCGGACTTTACACCCCAAAACTGACCCAAGCCCGAACCCCAAGTCTTGAAGCCCGAACCGGACTTTAAACCCTAAACCCTAACCTTAACCTGCCAAACCAAACTTGTTGTCCCTACAAACTCCATATTCGGGTTCATAATAAGAACCTACAAAAAAGTAGGGTTTGGTAGGCTAAGGTAACCCCCCTAAACCCTAAAACCGGGGCTCCGGGCCTTGTCGGAGATGTGGGCATCCTCCAAGTTGAATCCCACCTCAGAGGGGTGGTCAGGCCCCACCCCATAACTGGGCTCTTGTTAAGGAAATTTTTGTTCAGTTACCACAATTATTATAGGATCCTTAAGGGAGGGTGGTTCAAGGGGGGAGGGTATGGGGACTGTAAGGGAACCTTAGGGAGTACTAGGGAGAATTAGGGATCACTAGGCTTTTTACCCCCCTTGGACCCCCCTCCCTTAAGGATACTACAAAATTATGTGGTTTCCTCATTATGGCAACTAAATTGAATCCCTTAACAAGAAACCAAATAAAGTAAAGGGCATAGTAGGAAGACGGACGGCTTCTAATGCAACTAGTATCTCTTTATGGGCCGTGGCCCAGGGTTACGGGGCCTGCAACTTCTCTGCTTCACCAAATGGGAGCTTCCGAAAACACGGGGTACCTTATTTTGGGGTCCTTATAATAAGGATCCTACTATTTAGGGTACTATATTAGGGTCCCCTATTTTCGGAAACCCCCAAATCCCTACCAGTAACCCCATAAACCTACATCTCTGCGGGATTCTGTAGTTGTGGGGGATTCGCAATCAAGAGCCTTGAAGCTGTAGGTCTTTGGGGAACCAGGCAAGCCCGCAAACCTCATCCTGAGAAAAATAGGTCAATCTAGCTTGGAACTTCCCGGGAATAAGCGACCTTAGCATTCAGATTTGGGCTTAGGGGTACATTACCCTAAAGCCTGGACCCTAAACCCTGAACCCTAAACCCTAACCGCGGGGCTATAAGGCTACAAGGGACTGGCTCTCGTAAGTATGCCGACTCCCCATAGTCTTAGGGGCTGGCTGAGTACCCTAGCCGCCCAAAAAAAGCTTATTGTGGGATTATACAAACCGTGTATTATAAACCCCCAAAGGTTAAAGGTTACCATCGCAGCTACTAAGTGTTCGAGAGCGCTTGTTCGAGGCTTTTTCAGGGAACTGAGGAAGGAAGCTGACAAATAATAAAAGCTGAAGAACCTGAGAACTACACCCCGAAACCCAAATACTAGTTCATGGTTGGGCTAGGATTAAAATTTATATTGATATTCCTTATTGGGTTTAAGTACCCATAAAAATGTAAACTGTTATCCCACTTTGACACAGAATAGATTGGGATGGAAGGGCTCTCGTATGTAGAAGCCTCGAAGAGGAAACGTCTTTGAAACTAACATGGAGCCCGACATATTTAAACGGAGTAGTTCATACTGGGTGGGACTGTTCCGAACATCTCTAGTCGGGTGTCCCCTTGTGCTGAACGACTCCAAACGGGTAGTTGTCAAAATTATGGTCCCTTTTTGGGTGCCCTAAATACTAGGTGCCGTATTATAATAAGGACCCAAAAGAGGACCATAATTTTGACAACCACCCAAACGTGCCGAAGCAAAAACAGAGCAAGGAAAGACGCAAGGGATGATGCGATGCGCAAGTGAGGCACTGTATACCCCGCACGTATGCCCTGTGTGGCAAATCTTGATGAGGATCTCTATAAAACATCACCTGCAGTTTAAGCCCTTGACCCCAAACCTTTGAAAATACATCCAAATAATTTGGGACCCTAGACTACTAGCCTAACCCTAAATTTACACCCCAGACCCGAAATCCAATGACCAGCCGGGACAGATCCAAAAAGCCCAGAAATCCTCCGCCAAACCCTCAACAACTATTCCGACTGAGCTGCTGGGACAGCTTTGGTTGTCTCGTAAGGCAGTGTCTCCAGCAAAGACTAGACAGGGCTCGGGCTGTCTTGGGCTTTGGGGGCTGTTCTTTTTCGGAGGCCTCTTTGCGAGCTTTAGCATCTAAGGTTTGGGCTCTAAACAATGATGCCCTTTGGATCCCTTTGGTGTTGCGGCGCTATATGCTGTAGGGTCAGGAATGATTTGGCCATGAAATATAGCTCAGGTCATCCGTCTTGGGGCCTTAATTCCCGAGTCACCAGGGTTGCTACTGCTCGGGGCGGCTGAGTTTTTGCTTTTAACGGTTGCGGGCGGCGGGTGGTGTTCCTACGAGGGATCTCCAGATCTGTGCTCAAGGCAGCGCAGCTCCAACGTAGGGGAGGGTGTGCAACGCGGAGTTTAGCGCGTTCGGACCCCGCCAAGCAAGTTGTCGCCAGGTTCCCCTACTTTCAATCAATCACATGTTGGCTCAAGTCCTTGACACCATAATAAAGGGGCTTTAATAATTAGAATAGGGGTTTGGGGCCCGTTGTATAACTAGAACAAGGAACCCCCTCCAATAGTATTAGCAGTTATTTAGGCCCCTCTATGGGAGTTTCCGAGAAGACGGGACCCTAACATAGCACCTAAAAAAAGTAGGATCCTTATTGTAAGGACCCCAGGATAAGGCACCCCTAATTTTCGGAAACTCTAAACCCTGAATAGAACCCTTGTAGATCCCTTTCAGGAACCCTTGTAGATCCCTTTTGAGGTACACCCTTAGAGATCCCGTTTAAGGTACCCCTAATTTTCGGAAACGCACCCATATTACGGCCGTGCCTTAGCCACCCGAAGTGGAGGCCGAAGCATCGAAGCTAAGCTGCCCAAAACCCTGAATCCTGAACTCCATTTAAGGGTATCTGTAGGGTTCTATTGTAGGGTTCCTTAACAGGGGCTTTTTTGGTTATATATGAGGGATCTGTAAGGGGCCTTTTAGATCCGTGCTAACTATTAAGGCCCCTGTAGCACTAAAGCCAGGAACGGAGCAACATTTGGAAAATCAGAACTTCCTCGTGGACCGGCTTTCTTGAGGATTCCGCCTTGCCTGGTCATCCAAATACCTTATACTGAACTTAGAACCCTAGCAAAAATTATGATTTTAGCCGTCTCTTAGGGATTATAATAGCAAAAAATTAAAATCATGTCTAAGTACCCCTAAGGACCCTTTATTACAGTCGCTAAGAAGTATTCGAGCCCTTTACAGGGTACTTGGGCCGGAGCCCTAGATTCATGAAGTCCTCTAGTGATCTCACTTCCTTTCACCTGAGATCCTTCCACAAACTTCGATTCTATGGTCACCTGACGGGAACAGGATCTGCTTGTTTGTGCTAGGGACCAGCAAAATTCAACAGGTAAAGCGGATTCCTAACATTGATCAAGAACGCTTTAGGATCATTGCGACGATACATGGTCCCACCACCGCTGCTGCTAGAAGAGCATGCTCGCTCTAGAACTACGGGTCGCAAGACCAACGAGAGCCATATCAGGGTGATTGTCAAAATTAGGGTCCTCAAAAAGGGACCCTAATTTTGACAACCACCCATCAAGAGTTGCGACAATGCTGTGGCTTTTTCTTGTCGGAGCTGATGCTGGTGGTGGTTATGGTGTTGTTGCTTTTGTTTACTCGATGAACACTTCTCTCTCTGCGTACTTGCTCTTCTTGCTACCCTGGGGATCAAAATAGCCCAAAAGCCTTATATAGTATGGTCTTTGGGCCCAAAAACCTTAATATATGAGTCCTTAGATCCCTAGGGCTAGTCAGATTTCCGTACGCCGGCGAAGCCCCTATGCCCTGGCACCTCGTGGCGGTTCGTCGGCATCTGAATCATGCAAGACACCTCCTCCTGCATAGGTGCTCAGGATGGTATTCAGATTTTTCTTTTTTTTAGGGCCCTTTTCCGTCTGCAGAAGTCTGAGTCGGAAGTCTCCTGGTATTCAGATTTAGGGTTCAGGGTTTATGGCAACAAGGGTTTCGGGCTAGGATTTGGGCGTTTCCGAAAATAAGGGACCCCAATACTGTACCCCAAATAGTAGGATCCTTATTATAAGGACCCCAAACAAGGTACTCCTAATTTTCGGAAACGCCCATTTCAGGGCTCAGGTTTAGGAATTGATGCCTTCTCCTGCAGACAGTGGTCTCAGGTGGGGTCTGCTCCCCGAGGTTGGCGAAAAACTGGAACGGGACTTCTATACTGAACTTAGAACCCTAGCAAAAATTGTAATTTTAGCTGTTTCTTACGGATTATAATAACCAAAAATCAAAAATTGTTTCTAAGTGCCCCTAAGTTTAGAGTCGAGCTCTTGACTGGACACAGCTTTCCCAGACCCCCGGGAGGATCCAAAAAGTAGATCCCTTATAATGGGGGTTCCTATAGAGTACCCTTAGTAGTATAGGGCCCCAAATTAGGGGATCTACTTTCTAGATCCTCCAAAGGGGGTCTGGGTAAGAGAGACCCCTCGGGGCTTCTGCTTTCAACAGTCTTTCCGAAGTTGAGTTTCAACCTTTGACCTCAACAAGCTATCTGCCAAAACCGAGCCTGCTACTCCGGATGTGATGGGAGGCCAAAAGGGGGGTCTTAGACTCTTGGGGTAGGGATTCCTTAATATGAACCCTATTATGGGAACCCTAATCCCTACTAAACCCCCATAGGCTAAAACCACTTTTGGCCTCCTTTGATACCCTTATAGATCCCTTTAAAGGAACCCCTATAGATCCCTTTAAAGGAACCCTAGGGATCCCTAACCCCCATAGGCTAAAACCCCTTTTGGCCTCCTATGATACCCTTATAGATCCCTTTAAAGGAACCCCTATAGATCCCGTTAAAGGAACCCTAGGGATCCCTAATAACCCCCATAGGGTTTAGGGTTTAGGGTTTAGGGTTTAGGGATACACACGTGCTCCGGGCTGCACAAAAGGAGGAGCCGGGTTCGAAGCGGGGCCACGCAGACTGGGGAGGGCAAAGCAACTAGTTGGGCGTTCGCGGTACATGGGGCCACTGCTATTATTATTATTATTATTATTATTATGAGTATTACTATTATTATTAGTAGTATTATTATTATTAGTATTATTAGTATTATTGTTATTGCTCTTTTGTGACCTTAAGGATGCTCCAACTTTCAGGCCCTTTGCCAAGGGTAAACGGAGGGATCCTTAATAAGGACCCCTAGGTATAGACCCTTTTTATAGCTAGGATATACCCATTACATAGCCCATTATAGGGTAGGGGTCCCCATGAAGGGTCCCCCCTTTTCCCCTTTGACCTTTCCATGGCCCAAAACCCGTAAAGCCTAAACCCCAAATCCGAGGCTCGCCCCTGCGCCCAAGGCACCGAGATACCCTCACTTTAATAGCTCCGGAATGCGCGCTCCTGAGGTACTCCTTGAACTCTGAACTGGTTCAAGGTATATTCCTTAATTCCCTTATAGAACCCCTATAGATCCCGTTAAGGATCCCTGAAAAGGAACCCTAAGGTATATTCCTTAATGAAGGTTTGCGGGTCTTAGGGTTGGAAGTCGCTGGGTTTTGGCTAAAGTTCTACAGCCGCTTTGTGAAGGATCGAATACAGGGCCCTTAGTAATTCGAATTGGGTTTTGGGGCCCTTCATACTATAATTAGAATAAGGAGCCCCCACAACAGTATAGGTAATTATTTAAGGCCCCTAAACTAAACCCTTATAGTGGCCCTTATAGTAACCCTTATAGACCTCTTTAAAAGGAACCCTTAATTATTTAAGGCCCCTATGTTATGAGCCCGGATGAGCTGAGGATGCCCAGCTCTTGGTATTCTTCAAAGCGGTTCTTTGGGTTGCGGGCTTAGGGCTGGTAGCTCCTTGTGGAAATAATCGAGAATAGTAAAGTTTTGCTTTCTCCTCGTGACAACGGTTGATGATATAAATCCTGCATGACCCATTATAGGGAATATACAACAATTCCCATAGTTTCGGGCCCTTAAGGTAATGCAGGATTTCTATCATCAACAGCAAGGACCTGCAAACTCAACAAAAGCAGCATCCTAAGCCCCTACCCTAAACCCTGGACCCTCATGCTCGGGTATTCTCAAGTAACACCGGCGGAGAGGGATCCCTCTGCTCGTAGTGCCGAAACAGAGAGCCTTGAAGCCCCAAACTCCAGACCCTTCACTGCTAAAACCCTGAACCCTTGAAGAGTGTACGATGGCGGCTTAACAGTCCCCCTCATCGTTCCTGTAAAGCCTAGAAGAAAGAGTAACCCAGGCATAAAAAGGATGCCCTTTTTGGTTTAAAGGGGCTTATAAGGGAACCTGAACCCAAAAAAAGGGAATAAGGGCCTACTCTGGGTCCTAGAAGCTGCATATAGTATACCGAGTTCGACATGTTAACCCCCTAATCTCTGACTTTCACGGTGTGGGTGATTCCCCGACATCACTACTGAACTCCTGAACTGTAAACCCCAAATCCGGAAACTCTCCACCATGTGAAGCTGCCTAGGCCCCTATTCTCATTGTAGGTGCCTAGCTTAGCGACATGCTCCAGGAGGCCTCATTGCAAGTCGCGGCAGCCAGTGCGAAGCCACCTCCGTGCATTCTGGGGCTCCAGGAGGTTCGACTTCAGAGTTTACAACGCTAAACCCTATGTAAACCCTACGCCCTCAACCCCGAAAGCCCTGAATCGTATTGCGACCCTGGTGGCCATGAGCCTCATGAGATGACGTCGGGGAGCCATCCTTACAATGCTTAGGCTTAGATGACCCAAATGAAACTGAGCCATCCTGTCCCCAAACCCGAAGCCCTACAGTTGATATGTAAATCCCCAGGGTTCCTTTAAAGGGATCTATTAAGGGTACCTTTAAGGGGCTCCTTTAGGGATCTATAGGGGGTTTAGGGTTTAGGGCTGATGATGTAAATCCTGCATTACCTTAAGGACCCTAAACTGTGGGAATTATGGTATATTCCTGATTATGGGTAATGCAGGATTCATATCATCAACCGTACCACCCCCAACAAACTCAGCTGATTTTCGTAAGACTAAACCCTAGGCTGATCTCTCCAATAAGCATCTGCGAATCGTCCCTGAAACATCCGAATAACCACAGATACGGTTGATGATATAAATCCTGCATGCTCCATAATAAGGAATATGCCAAAATTCCCATAGTTTAGGATCCTTAAGGTAATGCAGGATTTATATCATCAACCGTAGCAACATCCCCCTAAGTTCCCCAAATCTGAACTACTTACCGACTCAGGCCGCAGAACTAAAACTATACTGAACTTAGAACCCTAGCAAAAAACCTGATTTTAGCTGTTTCTTAGGGGTTATAATAACCAAAAATTTAAGAATATTCCGAAGCACCCCTAAGTAAACCTAAACCGCCTCGCGCCTTGGCACAGAAACAGCAGTGCCGCGATAGAGGCCATGGCGCTCAGACAGGCTGTCTTGCGCGGAGGTTGAGAAAGAATAAATGGAAACCAAATGCCTCATCCAAGCCTGTTCCAAACATAAACGCACCTGCACCACGGAAGTTTAGTAGCACTTGTGACGACAAGCATGGACACAAAAATGGCGACGGCGTTCAGACTGAACCATTGGTAGTAGTGCAAGACAGCGTAAAGATTGGCCACAAGTCGTCTTTGAGTGTAACAGTGCAACTAGTAATGCCCGCGAATCAGAGGTTGAAACCACGATATCCTTTTTTGGGGGGGTGACGAACCCTCAGACACTCTGTTTTGAGCGAGCATCCAGAAGCAAAACATGCTATATAATTTGTATTTGTCGCTGTAGCCAGTCGTGTCCAACCAACACCAGGGTGTGAAGATGAATTGCAATCTATCAGATGAACTCGCCAGTGCTCTAGACACGCCTTCAAGAGCGCTAAATCGACACACATGCATCGACTTCCTTCTAATCGCCCACTGGCACGAAACGCGTGACATGACACGAGTCTACGGGGATCGAGTCTGTTGGAGGATTACTTCGGACCCTCGAGGCCCGGGGGTGCCCCTCACCCTGAACCCCAAAAGACTATGCAGTGCCAGCGACGACCGGGTTAATGCTTGGCCTTCAGGGCTGCCCTAAACCCAGGACTCTTATCTCATACCCAGAATTGCGAGGTGGGAGGGGCTGCTGGCACTCTGTAGAAAGATACGTGGCTGATATGTGTGTACCGTCTCGCCGTATTGCAGTGCAAGAGGATTTTGGGATGCTTGAAGGGCGCAGTCTGGTGCTACAGGGTTGAGGTTTTAGTGGCGACATAACCGACTAGCGCTTCTACCAGCAATCACAAGAAGGTGGGCTGTCTTCGCCCAGGATAACTCCTTTGATAAAGCCCAAGCATGAAACTGTCCCACAATGTTTTGTTCCCGACCACGGCAGCCGCAGCTAGGCTTTCCGACGGACAAAGGAGCAGGACTCCTTTGGTGGGATGGGTTTCTTTCAACATTGAGTTAACGGCCTAGCATTCCAGGTTGCAACCGAATCCAATTGCCAAGTGGCTTAGCATGGGTATTCGAAATGCATGGCACAAACAACCAGTTGGAACGGCCTTAAACACAACAGCCTGGTAAACAGTCGGTTCGACACCCCCCAAACCCTGCGATAACCCTTGTGAATCCTTTTTGCAAGCCCATTGAAAGACCTATAACCGCAACCCTCATCACAGCTGGAACAACCTTAGACCCAAAACCCCTAAACCCTAGACCCTAACCCCTAAAACACCGTTTGGACCAGCGTCTCGGCTCAGTGGCTTCTCCTTCGGCGATCCCGAGTTTTCTCCTGTCCCAACCCCAATGTTTACTTTAAGCCCCCAAGAGGTTAGGGTTTTTGGGTTTACCGTCAACCTCACAGAGTTTAAGGGTTTCGGATGGTTTAGTTTTTAGGGTACCTGAAACCCCAAAGGGTTTGATGGTTCAAAGGCTTCCAGCCTTCGGGTTTTTTCTTACTTCCTCTTTCATCAAAGATTAGATTTGTGTCATTTTTGATGCATTGTCCCGGCTTGCGGCTCTTTTCCCAAAGTTTGGTTTGTAGGTTTAGGCGAGAAGTGGTTTAGGGATGATCAAGGTGTGGGGATTACATAGAGGCTGAGTGATAAGGGTGTTTGATGCTAGGGAATCGCTTTAAGGATTGTGGCTGCTTTATCAGGCGGCTAGGGTTCAGACCTTAAACAAAACTATCACCCTGCAGCACTCGGGCGCTAAGCACCTAAACGCTAATGTAGGGGCCAAGAAATTTGGGGCCCATCGCACTATAACTACAATAAGGAACCCCCGCAATAGTATAGGTAACAATTAAGGCCCTTATACTAGACTAGAACTTGAACTCCGACGGTCCCAAAACCCCAGAACTAGGAAATCAACACGCCGATTGTCCGCTCGCACCCAATGTCAAACATTCGGAAGCGAAGCCCGCAAGATACGAAAGAAACACACGAAGATTGACATTGTTGCTGAGATCCCTGGTCCATTAAGAAGGTTGGCCGCTTAAGCTGAATATGTTCTTAAGCAAAGGATTTCGAAGCCAAGCTGACCAAGCAGACCCTGAGCAATCGAGAATCCCTCAGCTCCATAGTCCAAAGGTCTTCTGTTTTTGCAGGACATCATGCCATGTAGCATGCATTTCTTGTTTTTGCTATCTTTATATTTTTGATATGAAAGCAAAAAATCGTTATCATTAAATGCTGTGCAATCCGCCGAAGAAATCCTTTTTGCAACATGTGGTGCCTTCTTCGGGAGTCTCAGCCTAAAACCTGTAACCTAGCCTTGACTCTTCCGACCACTGTGGGGTGAAGTCCGGATACACGGGCATACTACAGTGACTATCATGGAGCTCGACGATGCGTGCGATACTGCCACTGCCACGGTTTAGGCTTCAGGGGCTTCGCATTTTGTGTTGTTTTTCGGGGCTTTGGGGCTCTAAGTTTATCTAACAGCAGCTCCACCCTTACACACATATATAGACATATCTATAAATAAATACTCTCTCTCTCTCTTCTTTCTCTCTCTCTCTCTCTCTCTTTCTCTCTCTCTCTCTCTCTCTCTCTCTCTCTCTCTCTCTCTCTCTCTCTCCTCTAGTATCAAAGGACTCAATAGTAGCAGACTTCTTAGCAGGACGCAGTAAGTAGAGTTATAAGTAGCAAAACCCCAAGTAGGTACAATTACCAAAGCAAAACTCCAGTAAGCCAGGGCCTTTTGCCCAGAGCGATGGTGATCGGAGGCATCTGGCCGGGCCGCTTCGTGCGGGTCCAGAGACGGAGTATTTCTAGCACGTTCAAACCCACCCCGAAACTCTAAACCCCTAAACCGTTTCAAGCGTGAGCTCTACATCCCAAGCCGCAAAACCTATACCATTCAAAACCAAGACCCCGAACCCTAACCCTTAACCGCTGAAACCACTAAGAGCCTAAGTCCCCGGAACCATGCACTCCAATGCCGGGCTTTTTGGTTCAAGGTAGCAATGTCCTTATGATTATATATTCGGGTCCCTGCAACCAACCTGTTGGCATGGCAACCAACATTCTGCCCTCACCTATCTTGCTGTACATGCCGCAGACCTGAAGTCCAACCAGTCGCAAGCCAAACACTGAGAAGATGCGAAACATAAGCCGTGGAGAAAGCGGGACCACAAGGAAAATCTGCGCAATGCCACGGTGACGTTTTCTGAATTGTCTACGATTGATGTAGGATGGCTTCGGGTTTGAGGTTTGGTGGCTCGGTTAGTGTTCTATGACTCAGCCTGGAAACCATCCCAAAAATGTTGGGGTTTGTGTACTGCTGTTTGCGTTATCAAGGGAAGCATGCTATAGGCTATAGTTACAGTTCAGTGTGTAACGTATACTGCTAGGATTTCAGTCAAATTTCTGTTCGGATGCCGGACGTCATTCACATGCACTCTGTTGCTTTCTGTCACCTGCTGATTTCACGTGCAGATGTCGCCACCCTCTGAAAAAATTGGGTACGCCCTCTGCCAAGATGGAAGGCAAGCTGCTGCTTGTGTCACACATGAACACCAGTGCCGTGCAGATCCCCCAGCTCTCCTCTTCCTCCCGCTCCTCTCCTCCTCCCTCTTCTCTCATCTCCTCTCCCCGTTCCTCCCCTCACTCGCGCGCTGCTGCAAACTGCAAGTCAGGAAAACATAAAATGATCATACCACCAGCTACCAATCTGCAAATCACGAAGACAAAACAGCATGTATCTGAGCACATAGGCGCGACCATGTGCCAATCAGGAGCTGTTAAAAGGCACACACACACACACACATCCAAGCAAGACTACGCGCCAATAGTGGCAGGATGGGTGAACATACTTAAAGAAAACCGAGGGTCGAAGGGCGGCAAAAGTGGTTGTAATGCCGCGCAGACTGAAAATATTGCTCAGGGCTGGCTCCGGAAGGTCGCGGCCACCCCACATAACAACCGATCCATCGTGGCAGAGCTTCACGAAGGATTCGGTGGCACCGCCGGACATCTCCAGATCAAAACCTCAATCCCTGAAGCCCTACACCCTAAACCCTAAAACTTTAATCCGTAAACTCCTAGACCATAAATTTGATCTCAGCTGGCTCCAGCAGCCCACGGCTATTGGTGAGAGCCCGTAAGTTGGTAAGGAGGCGTGGGCCTCCCACCAAGCGGCCTTTGCTGCTTATTTCCGGGCCTCCGTGTAGTTCACGAAGTCTGAGAAATTACATGCTACTCTGCTGCAGGCGGTGGGATTTTTCTTTGGGATTTGAGTTCATGTGCTGATTGATAAAAGGGGTGTGGGGGAAGTTGTCTGGCGTGCGCGCATGGCTACGACAAGGTATTTCTACAGGAATCCCGGACAGGCTTTGTGTGAGTAACAGCTCCAGGACAGAATTGAAAACGAGCTGCGACTTGGCCGTGGCCCTGGCACGACGAAGCGGCGGGCAGGTCGACATTGAATCTTTGTGCATCGGGGAGGTCGTCCCACCGCCTGTCTGGCCCAAGTAGCCGTGGGAGAAACAGAACGCCCGGGCTTGCCCGTCGAGCGGCACCTCAGCTTCTTGTCTCAGAACTAAGCTTTAGTTGCCCGCATTTGCCCCGCATCCAGAGCTTTTCGCATCACTGACAGCTCCACGCAGACTGGACGAGTCTCTGTGCTTCGGGTTCGAGTGGGTGACAATCTCAAGAAAACACACTGCCTCCTCACATCACTCACGACGTTTCTCTGTTCGTCGGGTTGGTCACAATGACATTTCCAAGGAAACGGTTTCCGCCACCCCCCGAAAAATGATTGAGGTCGCTCCAGGTTATTTGTGGTGCACAAAGGCAGCCTTGTGGCTCGTGAACCACAAAACAAGCTTTATGGCTGCACATCGTTGTTTGGAGGTATTGCGATTTGTTGTGCCTTTGGGCTTTGAGGTTATGCAATGGCATGGTCAGATGCACGATTTGTTGCGTTTGGTTCTTGTAATGCTGTAGGAATTGTCAGATTACAATTGTGCTCGGATGGAGGGGCATGGTTGAACGTACAATTTGTTTGATTCGTTTGCGCTGTGGTGCTCCAGTGGAATGATGGAACCGTACCCTAAACCCAAACCCTCAGCTAAGCGATCGGAGCTGGGTCCAAGTAAAGCTCGCATAGCCCTCGCGAGCGTATAGTATTTTATAGTATATAGTATGGTATCATTCTTTGCAGAGGCTCTACAAATCCTTTTTATAGTCCAACATATAAGCCTACAACTACTAAAATGTCTCTTTACGGTTGACCTTCCAAAGGAGCCTGGTAATCAACCAATCCCCTTTATGCATAGAGCTTGACCTTTGTGCGGCATTGGGGGGGCCTACCACCTTCTCGGAACCATAACCTTGCGCCCTAAACGATTCCAAACGACTGCCTTGGTGAGCCGCTCGCAAAGTATCCGTTCAAAATCCGATCCGTGAGACCTCAACCCCAAAAGCCTCAACCTAGAAGCACGTCCAAACTCCCAACTGTGATTACTCTTTTGGGATTTAAGGCCCTGAACCCCGTGTATAGTCTCCAGACCCACCCGGCTCTGCCAACCTGCCACGTCTCGCCGTCGCCTCCGCTCCTCCTGGCCGCCAACACGTTGACAAACTGTAAAAATTTCTTGCTCGGGCCTACACTTTGGATATCTTCAGCAAGCCGTAAGTTAGAAAACGGTATGATTGCAACGAACTGAATTGAATGTCCGTACATCGGAAACTGCATGAATGCATACGTATATATATATATATATACATATATATATATACCTATACCTATACCTATACCTATACCTATACCTATACCTATACCTATACCTATACCTATACCTATACCTATACCTATACCTATACCTATACCTATACCTATACCTATACCTATACCTATACCTATACCTATACCTATACCTATACCTATACATATACATATACATATACATATACATATACATATACATATACATATACATATACATATACATATACATATACATACACACACATACACACACATACACACACATACATGCATACTTACATATATATATATATATATATATATATAGGTAGATAGGTAGATAGCTAGCGAGGTAAGCACTAGGCGTTGGGGTTATCTCACATCAGTTGGCGAGAATACACATCAATGCCGGCAGGCGCTGGTTTAGGGAGAATACACATCCGAGGGGAAATGCACATCGCAACTAGCTAGACCCCAACTAGACGCTGGTTTCCAGAAGAAAGGCAGCAGATAGGCCAGAGTGCCGGATGTGTTGTGGACGATGAGGTATGCAGTACATTTGAAAGCGTTTTCAAGATAGGAAATCAAGGCGTTTGCCTTGTAGACGCTTGGATTTGGAGGAAATGTCAGCAATCCTGAGGGCTTCTGGACACTGCAAGGATCACAAAGCACACACTCGAGCGAAGACGGGCGTGCGCAAGCCCACTAAAACTGACAGATGCGAGTGCGTGCTGCAGACGCCGAGGAATATGAAAGTGCAGATGCAGAGCTTGATAAGATGATTTCACGTCTATAATGCGTTCCCCGAAGAAGATGCCTTGCAGATGTGTAAACCACCCAGGTTATACGAGATACCCCCGGGACCAAGTAGGAGATGGGTAGGTAGATAGATAGGTAGACACACCCACAGCCCCGCAATGGCGATGATGACAACAAAGCTGATCAGTGAACCCCAGTCTCTAAGCTCAACCCGCTCACAAACAAAATCCCAGCCATCCCTTGACCCCAACCCTTTGAAGAAAGCGGAAAACTCCAAAATCCCGAATAAGGACGCCCTGACTCCCTGAACCCTGAACCCAAAGCATGTTTCTCCAAAACCCACACCCTCGACTCGAACCCCCCCCCAAAACTGCAAACCCTGGAACCCTCGATACCCGCAACTACAGACTCTACACTACTTGGAGGTTCATGGGTAGTTAAAGGTAGGGTTATAATTAAGGCAACTTTGGTTATAACCCCTACTAGGGGGACTCAGACCCCCATTTAAGATGTATATAACTACCCATGAACCTCCAAGGATGCCCCAACCTTAGTCAGCACAGCCGCTCCCAAAAAGTGGCATTCGTCCCAGTCCTTCACGGGGCTCTGCGTCGGCCCTGTGGGCTTCCCAGGCTCAGCGAATAAGTGTCACTTCTGTCATGGCTGGGGTCTACAGTAGAAGCCAGAAAGTTGGAACATGGCTTTAGGAGGATTAGTGCTAGGATCCCCTATGCTTTACCTTAAGGCCATGAGGCTAAAGATGTTCCAACTTTCTGGCCTCTACTGTAGGGTTTAGGGAGTCATGACTGTGATTTCGGATTGCTCTTCTTTTGTCTTGGATTTACGGCTTAGGGTTTGAGTAGGTTCTGGGTGTATGTATTCTTGAGACCATGACTAACATTGTATCATAGGGTCGTAGGATGATTCAAAGTAATAGGGTGTATGCTATGTGGGGCCGTAGTCTAGCAGGCCAAAACCCAACTCGGGGATGTGAAACAAGTTCGAGGTTTGGAAGGTTCTTCAAGAGTAGTTCTTCTACTGCTGTTTGGGAAGCCACCTAAATCCTAAACCTCAAATCTAAACCAAGAATCCTAGAATCCGATCCTTCCCTCTCCCTCTCCGAAGCCCCAAAACCCTGGTATCTACAGATTTGGGCAGCCCCAAACCTTCCCGTGAGCGCGGCCCGACTTTGGAGAACCCCCACCCGGCTGCATTGCAGAGCTGAACTTAACTTTTTCGCTTGAGCAATACAGCCTCTCAGGCATTAAAGATCGCGGAGCCTGTCATGTTCCCATCTGTAGGGAGCTAAAACGAGACAGGTCGCTCAGCAAATTCGGCGGCTGCCTTTGGAACTCTCCCAATTTCTGCGTTGCAGGTCCCTTGAGTGCCTCGATGAGAACGCAGAATCCCTGCAAGGGCTCGGCATACCCCTGACAGGAGTTGCAGCTGGGTTAAAACTTTGAAACTATTCAAAGGCGCGCAGCACGAGACAACCAGCCAAGCCCACATTGGTAGTTGGGGGGTGGTTCCCTTGTGCGCTCCATGTTGCACGTGCCCTGGTGGCTGAGACAGAGACCACAAAGGACACAGACTATGAACAACTATAATCACTGATATGAACACTGCTCGGTCTCAGCACGAAGGTGTGCCAGTAAGGTATGGGAACGTGACAGATGTAGTCTGTCATGACGTGCACTATCTACAGGTTGCGGCTGCATCTCACCTGGGCTGAAGGCACAATTTAGAACAACAGGTCTTTCTACAGAAAAATGAAGCTGTATTCTTGCCGACAGACGTCAGGTCGGGTTCACATGATGGAATACTGTGCAAAAGTAATCTCATGTACTACCATAGTACTAAATACCGCAAGCTTGCTTGCGTCCGGCATCTTGAGTCTATGTAGACCTAAGAGTAACCTTGGAATAAAAAGGGTGCCCTTTTTGAACCCTACAAAAAGGGAATAAGGGCTTACTCTAGCTTCTGGCACCGACTCTACGGACAACACAGTCGCTGTGAGAACTCAGTGTGTCTTGCGAATGACTACTGCTTGGCAAAGGCTGCATTTTGTAATCATGATAAGGGTTACTATAAGGGATCCATAAGGGTACTATAATATGCCAACAAGAGCAACAACAACATGAATGAGGGCGACGGAAGCATTCTAAAGAAGCCCTGAGCAGCAAATGACTTGAAGTGGGGAGACTTGGACAGATGCCCTTATACCCTGCGGAATCAGTCGAAGATAACTGTTGTCTGAGCAAACCCCGAACCGCACAGATTTTTAGCCACGAGCGCTAAGCCAGTGGCGAACCAAGCTGTAGCTGAAGGTTTAATAGGGCGTTGACAGGCGTCAGCGCCTGCCTTCAGACTTTTGATTTGATGTTCGGATGTAAGGATGTCAGCCCCCAGAACCCTGAACCCTCACACGCATCCAAAGGAAAAAGCTGCCGGAATCCGAAATTTTGACCCTGAGCCTCTTGACACCGAAACTAGAATCCCAGACCCTATCAACCCAAACCTCAAATCCCCCAAACCTCGAATCCCCCAAACCACAGCAACCTGTCAGAGCCCCATGTACTGCCTTGTTCAACAGGCCTTATAACCTTATAAGCCCTCAGGGCACCTTCATAACATCCGTAGGTAGCCATTTCGACTCCAATACCTAAGCGCCTGGAACCCCTGGTTGAACGCCCATATAAAAATGCTTCGAAAACCTACATGAAACCCTTGTTTCGCGACATCTATGGAACATTTCCCGATGAAACTCCTCGATCACCAAAACCTCTCTGCCCTAAACCCTAAACCGAGTGACGCCGCAGATTCGACTCTTCACTCCCAGCTTCCGGCGAGAGAAAAGTGCTTGGCGACCTCTTGGGAGCTGCGAGGCTTCAAGAGTTACCTTAGCCTACAAAACCCTACTTTTTTTGTAGGTTCTGATTATGAACCTTCATGTGGAATTTATAGGGACCCTACGTTTTTGTAGGGTTTGGTAGGTTAAGGTAGCGTATATACGTAGGATTTGGGTGGTTGTCAAAATTAAGGTCCCTTTTCGGGTACCCTAAATAATAGGGGCCGTACTATATTAAGGACCCAAAGGCGGACCATAGCTTTGACAACCACCCATTTAGGGTTAAGGGTACCCTAGACCCTAAATCGTGCAATGTAGGGGCCTGAATAATTAGAATAGGGTTTGGGGGTATATTATTCTACAAATAAGGACCTAAATTCCGATTCTTATGTAGGCCCCTACATCAGGGCTTACCGTCTTACCTGTTTGGGGGGTTCAGGATTTACGACTCGAGGATGCCTCTGCTTGTGAGGAAGGGGCGATCGGTGCCTAGAGTTTTAAGCTCATTTTCAAGAACTCCTACAGTTCTACAAGGGTGGCTTTAAGGGGTCCTGTAAGGGTTCCTTTAAGGGCTCCTGTAACGGTTCCTTTAAAGGCTTCAAGGGCAAGAGATTAAGGTTCGAGGGTTTGAAGGCATAAGATCTGTTGGATGAAGGTTAGGGTTCACAGGGATCGACGGTTTAGGGCTCAGGGCGGCGCTTTCGCGCGCAGGGAAAGGGGCGGGGGGGGGGGGGGGGGTTTAGGACTTTTTGGCCCATAAAGGGCTCCTTTGAGGATCCCTTAAGGGTTCCCTTAAGGGATCCTTTAAGGATCCCTTTAAGGGTTTCCATGAGGGGTGAAGAGTTTATGCCGTCTTGAAGATTCGGGCTCCAGCGTCCGGGGATTCGGGATTCAAGGGTTTAGGCCTGAAGGGTTTAGGGTTTAGGGTTTAGGGTTAAATATGCAGCCCCGTCTGAAGCCTGCAGCCCCTTCTGAAGCCCTTCTGGAACCATTCTAAAGCCCTCTAAAGCCCTCACAAAACCCTTGTCGGAACCCTTATCCAAGGGACCCAAATAAAACCCTGAAAACGGAACCCTTAAATTACCCTCCCACAACCATAAGCCCTGAGCAGACCCTAAAACCCCCAGATTCCTCAGCGCCCCTAAACCCTTAAAGGCCCTTAAAGGAACCCTACTGTAGAACCCTATAGCACCCTTAAAAGCACCCGACAACAGCACCCGCAGCACCCTCAAGGCAACCCTTAAAGGAACCCCTCATTTACCATCCCCCCAACCTTACCATGAGCCTAAACCGTGGATCCTGAAACCCCCTGAACCCTCAACTTACCTTTGGTTAGGGTTTAGGGTTTAGGGTTTAGGTTAGGGTTTAGGGTTTAGGGTTTAGGGTTTAGGGAGGGAATGGAGGAAGGGTAGCAATAGTAGTTATACTGGTACCCCATTCCTCCATTCCCTAGTAATTAAAGGTAAGTCAAGGCCCGTCAAGGAAGCCTTAGAACCCTCTCGCACCCTTGATGGGAACCCTACTCTAGAACCCCTTAGCACCCTTAAAGGGAGCCCTACTGTAGAACACACTTAAGGGAACCCTCAAAAGGACGCCTTAGAAGGACCCTTCACTTTCCATCTCCCCCTCAAAAATAGTTACAACCCTTTTCTGGGTTGGCCTTTAAACACCCTGAAAAATATTTATATATAGGGTCCCTTACCAACCCAAATAAGGAAAACAAAAAATGTCACAACATCCAACCTAGTTTTCTGGCCTTCAGCGACTCTGGGGGGCCGGGATGCTTCTCGTGCTTCTTGCCCGCATTGAGGTCCTCTCCATCCGGACGCACAGGGGTCTTGTGATTGCGACTCCGGGCATGCGGTGGTGATTATTATATGCTTACACTAGGACCAAGAGTGTCCTGTTGATTAGGATTAAGATTACGGCTATGATTGTATGTTTACGGTATTGAGGTCCTCTCCACTATGGCGAACAATCCCTTCGAGGTTCAGAGTTTAAGGTTTAGAACAATTTGGCTATGATCATATGTCTGCGGTACTTTACGTTCATGGTGCACAGGCCATCCACGTCCTGGCTTGAATGCTCCACCTCTCTAATTACGGTGTGACGGTGGTGGCTGGCTGCTGCTGTTAGCTTTTGGCGATGGCGGCAGGTTCGTACGCCCATTTCCCATTCGTGTTAAGCTCTCTTTGTACAGTGAGTGGTTGTGCTACCTATCTCCGAAGGTAGCAAAAGCCGGGACTTCGGTCTGTGTCGGCTTTGTAGCTGGTGGGCTGCTTGCCGCGCGTCTTGGTCGTGTAGGACATTATTGGTCCAAGGCCTCCATATTATAGTACCCTTATAGATCCTTTATAGTACCCCTATAGATCCTTTATAGTAGCCCCTTAATAAGGAACCCCCAATCTCGCGACGGGTCAGCAGCAGGGGAGGGACTTTCAAGGGCCTGTGGCCGGATACAAAAAAAAGGCTCGAAGCCCCCAGAGAGCCCAATACCCCTTAACTAAGGAATATGGCTTAAATTATATAGGGCTTCGTATTATGATTTAAGCTATATTCCTTAATTAAGGGTTATTGGGCTCTCCGGGCCGATGTTGATCTGGGCTTCGAGTTGCAGTTGCAGCTTTCTGCTTTCTGAACCTCATCCCGGCTCGAAAACCCTAACCCCAAGACCATAGGCTCTATATGGGAGTTTCCGAAAATGCGGGATTGTAGGATCCTTACTATAAGGATCCCAAAATGAGGTACCCCTCGTTTTCAGAAACTTCCGTATGGTTGGGGAATGAAGCGGTTGGTGGACGAAACGGCTGACCGGAGGCCGAGTTCAGGGACAGATGTACAGCCTCCTGTGTTGAACCCGCCCAACGAAGTAATATAGGGGCCTAAATAACTAGAATCTAGAATAGGGTTTTGGGGCCCAGTATACTATAATTCCAATGAGGAGCCCCCGAAATAGTATTGGTCTACAGTATATCGTGGGTGTTCTCCTTGGTGCCCCGAACGCACTGGTCGAAGGCTGCGCGAGAGTTGAAGCACTTGTCCTGCAGAACCCGCATGTTTTTGGGGGACCAACACTGGCTTCGGGGCTGGGTTCTAAACCTATACTTGGGAAGCCTGTGTATCCTGAGCACGGCAAAGGACTGCTTGGGGCCGGTAGAAGCAAAATAGGGTCTTGGGATATATTGTAGCATAGTTTTAGTCTGGAGACGCCAGAAGAGAATCTGTGCACGATAGTTCAGGTCCTAAGCCCTAAACCCTGAAAAGTAAGATTCTCACCAAGAACCCCGTTTGGTCTAGAGTCTAGAGAGACTGCGGCCGTCCTAAGCTGGGATCTCGGGCAGCTGGGTGGTTCTTACGTTCGGGGCTAGTACAGGGTCGTCATAATTGGCCTGGGGCTTTGGGGGTATACTTTCTACTCTACTCTACTAGAATCATCATGAAGATCCCCAGGCCATGGTATCTTAATAACTCAAGCTTCTATATTCCCTGGCCTGGCAGAGGACTCCCTGCATTAAACACGGTTTAGGGTTTAGGCTTGGGATACACCCTAAACCCTAATCTCTCCGAGGTACTTGGACAGGTGCAGGGTTGATGCACAAGGGTGCTGCTAATTTCAGGGTGTTACTGCGAGATTCTGCTAGTTGCATCACAAATGGACTGAGACCCGAAACCCCTTGTTTCAGTCTTGACTCCTCGAGCCCTACATGCAGGCTAGCCGTAATCCGAAAGCGGTTGACACATACCTTCAGGTGTTGTTTGTTTGAACCGCTGCTGATTGGGCAGTGCTGCTGCTGCTGCTGCTACTACTACTACTACTACTGCAGCGGCAGACTGCTACAGCCGCCGCGACCCCGGGAACCGCCACCACCA